TCCTGGCTCCGCAATACGACTCTCCCTCTGGATACCAGGTCTTATGTTGAAGATCTTCTGTTTGACGGCCTTGGCCTCTTCAACACCACTACTGATTCCACACTCCAAGAATTAGACAAGAGCATAAAGGCTTCTCGAGCTCTAGGAGTGTCACCCTCTGCGAGACAACAATACCGTCCCCGTACCTGGTCAAGGTCTTGGCAGAGGCGTGCACCAAGTCGTCAGTCTCCAGACAGGCAATGGAGACCGCGTGCGTCTTCAGGAGGTCAGAAACCTCCCTACCAAAAACCGAGCTTTGGATCCAGGCAACGATCTTCCCGTACCAAACAGGTCAAACCCTCCAAGCAGAGTTTTTGACTTCCCTGTCACCGAGTCAGTTCAGACCCGCCTATCACCCTTCCTTCATACTTGGCGTCACATCACCTCAGACGAATGGGTGCTGTCCATCTTGACCCGAGGCTACCGTATCCAATTCCACCAGAACCCCATTACTCCTGTCGTCGTCTCCACACACCCTTCCCCACCTCTCCTGGAAGAGATGTCTGTCCTTCTGCAGAAGGGAGCCATCGAACAGGTACCACCACACCTCCACGGGACGGGATTTTATTCCCGATACTTCACAGTCCCGAAGAGAGATGGAGGCGTTCGACCCATTTTAGATCTAAGGGCACTGAACTGTTTTGTAACCTACCATTGCTTCCACATGGTGTCCTTACAGCAGATTATGCCACTCCTACAGAAACACGTCTGGATCGCCACCCTCAACCTCCAAGACGCGTACTTCCACCTCACCATCCACCCCTCCCACCGCCAATACCTACGCTTCACGATTGCTCAACTGGCTCTATTAAAAAATCTGGGCCTACAAGTCAATCGAGAAAACTCTCAATTGAGTCCAGTCCAAAGGATAAAGTACATCGGCGCTATACTAGACTCCACGACATGCATGGCTTACCTGCCTCAAGACAGAGCGGCAGACATCATTTCCTTAGCCACCATCGTCCGTACCCACCCTACTGTCACTGCCTTCCAAATCCAAAGGCTACTTGGCCTTATGGCTGCAACTACGTCGGTTCTCATCTTTGCCAAACTGAAAATGCATCGTTTACAACTGTGGTTAATCCGGAATTACAACCCAGTGAACAACGCTCACACTATCGTCCTATTCCCTCCTCCCAACATACAAGACTTGTTACTTTGGTGGACTGTCCCTTCCAATATCTTCCACGGAGCACCCTTCCACCCTCCGTGACCCCAATTCACCCTGACCACGGATGCTTCCCTGTCGGGATGAGGTGCACACATGATGGGTCTGTGTGTCGGGGTCAAGTGGAACACCATCGAGCAAGGTTGACACATAAACTTCCTGGAACTGCTCGCAATTCAGTTCGCGGTCACGAGTTTCCTACCAATAATCAAAGGGAAATGTATTATGGTCCTCACG